GGCCGAGGTCGAAATCTACGCAACCAACACACATCCAGCCAGGTGGCCCACTCCTCGCTGGATGCTTATTTAAACTCTCTCCCTCCCGGTAACTACTTCGGCAATGACTCACGCCAGAAGTCTCCTCGAGTTACTCAAGTCCTTTTTCAAAATGTCCAGGGGCTTCCATTCCCCATGACACATGAGAAACAGAAAGGGCTCTTCAAGTGCTGGACGGATGAGATAGTGGGCATTGCATTGCTGGCCGAAGTTAATCTTCAATGGTCAGCAGTGCCAAGAGGGCACAAGTGGTTTGATCGAGTTAAGTCCTTCACTAATCAGGGACATTTCTCTTCAGTGTCTTACCATGAACATCAGGAGTTTCCAACTCCCTCGGCGCATCAATGGGGTGGATGTTCCGCTACATTACTCCACAAGGTTGCGCGTCGTGCAAAGTCAGGCGGCAACGACAAGACAGGGCTAGGCAGGTTCTCATGGATCAAGATTCAGGGTAGGGACATCCGACAACAGGAGTCTCAGACTGATGGGCCCCTGGCTGGTCCTTTAGATCTTGTGGTCTCTGCATATCGTCCAAACAAGGAGGGTACCAATGCCGGTAGTGTTTGGAACTCCCAACGGAATTACTGGCTGAGCAAGGGGGTGACAATGGATCCCCGGGACAAGCTCACACTAGATTTGGTGGACCTGATCAATCAATGGAAAGCAGAAGGGTGTGAGATTCTCCTTGGGTTAGATGCAAACGAAGATGTCTCCTACAACTCCCCCTCTTCCTTCCGCCAAGAGATGAGGATTGCAGGCCTGACCAAGGCTATCTTACGCCGACATCAGGGCCCTTACCCAGCGACAACCCACACTCGGATGACGGATACTCCCATTGACGGTATTTTTGTGACTGACGGTGTCTATGTCACTGCAGGAGGATACTTGGACTTCCAGCAGTATTTTAAGTCGGACCACAGGGGACTCTGGATTGACATTGACCTGGAAGCGACTCTTGGGGCTTCACCGGTCAACTCCCCCTCCTTCCAACCACGTAACCTGACACTGGCTGACAGCCGGGCTATCGTCACTTTCGCCTCCCCCAACAATTGACACAATTAGCGGAGGATATTTCGGTCCAGGATAGATACTTGACGGCAAACCAGCGAGATCGCTTCAACACAATTCATTGTCAGGCCTATGAGATCCGCCGAAGAGCTGAGCGCAACTGCCGGAAACTGTCAATGGGTAAAGTTCACTGGTCACCAAAAATGCAGCTGAAATGGGATAGGCTGCACCTCTACCAGCTTTTGATCTTGGGACATAAACAGGTCAGGACTGGCTCACGGAAGGTCCGGTGCTTGCTGAAGAAGACAGGGCTGAGTGACGCATGGAAATTATCGGAAGCTGACCTACAGGCAAAGTGGCACCTTGAACACCAAGAATACAAGGAGGTCAAGCGGAAGCGTGCACATCAGTGGCGCCTGGAGTACCTGGAGTCCAAATCAGCAGCAGTCTAGAAAGCGAAGAAGGGCAACATCAAGGCTCGCAGCCGACGGACTAGAGTCCAACGGATGGCAGGAGTACCTGGAGTCCAAATCAGCAGCAGTCCAGAAAGCGAAGAAGGGCAACATCAAGGCTCGCAGCCAACGGACTAGAGTCCAACGGAAGGAGGAGACTTGACGGCGACGGAAAGCTCAAGGCAAAGGTTTTCTGGTGGTCTCCAGCAGATAAAAGTGGCACAGGTGGCACAAGACGGTTCCTCCCATTGGGTAACATGCCAGTCTAAACGCCTTGTGGAGGAAGGCTGCATGCAAGAGAACTGCCTACGGTATGACCAGGCGCGTTACCCTTACACCAATGACTGAACCTTTGTACTCCAACTTCAATGGGCCCAACGCAGAACAGAACAGTAAAGCATTGCTACGGGGCCTATATGAAGTTGAGACGTTGGACCCTTACTTGGCGTCATTCATTGATCATTGTCAACGGCCGGAGGGCTTGGAAGACCAACTACTGGAGGTGGACCTGGAGGATCATGTTTGCTTCTGGCGTAAGATGGGGGAACATAAAGGCTCGGAAACACACAGTCTGCATAATGGACATTACAAAGCGGGCGCAGCATCCAACCTGCTTGCTTGCTGTGACACAATCTTTCGCTCCATCCCTTTTGCGACAGGATTTGTCCCAGCCCAATGGTGCCACTTGCTCAATTTTGCGATTGAAAAGAAACCAGGCGAGATTCGGGTGGACCTGATGCGCACAATCCAAATGATGAACTCTGAACTCCAAGCCAACAACGGCCATGGCCTATGCCGAGAAGCACAAACTGATCCCAACTGGTCAACATGGTTCTTGCAAGCGTCACCAGGCCATCGATCTGGCTCTTACTAAGCGGCTCACTTGGGACCTTCTACATATGCAACGCCGCCCTGCAGGGTGGATATCCAATGATGCCAAGTCCTGCTTTGACCGGATTGTCCACTGGGTGGCAATCATTAGCCTTATGCGCTTTGGGATTCAATGGCGTACCCTTCGCTCCATGTTTGACACCCTGATGAAGTCTAAACACCGGGTGCGTACGGGCTTTGGTGATTCGGACCCTGTCTTTACTCCTCCGACCCTGATTCCATTCCAAGGATGTGGACAAGGCAATGGAGCAGGATGACAGAATTGTATCAAGAACTGGTTTTGTGATTCGGACCAATACAATTCAATCGTTAGCGGTCTTATGGGTCTTATAGTAATTAGTAGTAAAATAGATATATGACGTGTCATCAGACGAGAACGTTGAGAACCGCACATCAGCGTTCGTCAATTCCCGATTGACTCATCGCGTCGTGTTTTGTTTACCTTGAATTGATATCCTTATCTTCTAGTGTAATCTCGAGCGTTCACCAAGAATAATAATATTCTGTCAGATTAACAGTCGCAGTTACGCACCATCAGCTAACTGCCGCCGTTTTTCCCACAGAAAAACGCCCTCTGCTTCCCTCAGAAGCAATTTCACAAGTCTTTGTCAATTCATTGGCATTTTGGCCCATTGCAACACCCACACTTGCGATCTAGCCCAGTCCTTTCCGACACCTACAGTCAAAGACCAGAGTTTTACCTCTTTCCTCTGGTTTATCAATCTCAAAGGTTTTATAGCTGCCGCGTTCCAAAGTCAACTAAACTTTAATTGGATCTCCATACCCATAACTGTTGACGACTATGCGAAGACCCATTGAGCACCGCTAACATTCCAAATGCCACGCTCATTCCTAAGCATTGTACTGATCACGACCAAAGTGTATTGGACTCCACCACTATTGGAACTGAAGAAGCTAAGCCGACATTCAAACAAGTAGATAGTCATAATTGTAATAGAGCCTTACTCTTTACTACTATGAATGGCACCTCTGCTTTAGATTGTGCAATCTATTTCTTCCAATCCTTTGCCTATGCGAATCCAATAGATGGACTCCATGAAGTCCATCGTCCACCAACTTCTGAACTAGCTAGACTTGAACGTAGCATGGAAGATCCTATCAACCTGGATCGCACCAGTGCAACTCAAGTCGCACTGCCAGAGCTTGAGATCTATCAGTCTCACAAGCAACCCTTAACTCAAGAGGCGCGCTTTGAGCTGGTGTTGTATCAATCTCACAAGCAATCCTCAACCCAAGAGGCGCGCTTTGATGATGATACTCGAAAGCCTGACGGGAGAAATGGTCCACCACCTTGCAACAGCGTTGAGCATGGATTACAACCAACTGAGGTTGAACTGAAGAACCCAAGCTCGGCTGTGAAGTCTCGTGAACGCGATTGGGAGCGCCTTCGCTGCTACTTTGCATGGTTGCCCAAGCTAGTCATCCAGAAGAACTCGGAACACTACTTGGAAGACTCAACTCAACTATGTTGGGATATGACGAAATATGAGTTTTTACGTTCCAAAAGAAACTATTCAAGTACAAGGTTTTCGACACGTGCGATCGGACTTTGATCGTGCAAGATGTTCGACGCAAGTATGCCGGGCGCAAGTCTGTCGGACAATCTGTATCCACACAAACAGGAAAAGATCCTGTACAAGTGGAATATTGAGGTTGTGTACGATGCAGTAGGGAATAATGCAAGATGTCCCAAAGTACTGCAGTCAACACAGAATTGTCGTAGAAGTCGAATCGAGTTCTGTAAACAAGGGATTTTCCAAGGGAAAATTGTCGAACTCACTTTTGTGATTGAATCATCAATTCAAGCCAAACATTAATCAAATAGGAACAATTTCACTCAAAGTATACCTAGACACAGGAGAACTATTGTTGTGAAAGTGTTGTACAGTCGATTAC